TTTTTTTTTTTTTTTTTTTTTTTTTTTTTTTTTAAAATTCAAAATTTTCACCCAAAAAAAAAAAAAAAAAAAAAAAAAAAAAAGTTCCCCAAATGGGTGTTTTTGGGGAAATTTTTCCCCAAAAAAAAAAAATTGTTTTTTTTTTTTTTTTTTTTTTTTTTTTTTTGATGAGCTGAAACTTTGAAGTTCGACAAAGAAGCAAAACAGAAGAACAATGTAAAAGGGCAAACACCTTTTTAACGTCACTGTATCTAAGATGTCTGGAACGCAACATAAATCTGGTTGAACCTTTTGACAAGTTGCTGAGTTCTTCATATTACTTTTATTAGTGATGTACCTCTACTAAGCATTATTGCTAAGAAGGAAAACGACTTCTGCAATATGGCTTAATAACTGTCACGTTATGGCACGAAAATCATGCGAAGGAACAAATTGGATGAAAGATCTACTTGATCACCATCCCAGTAAAAGCAACATAATTTAAGGCAAGCACATTCAATAGTTTAGACACCTGACTGATCATTGAACTTTTCCGATCGATGAAACACTGTGAGTCCGTGACTCTTCACAGCTGTAGATGGCGATTGCTGACTCTTCTTGCAGCAACTTACTTAACGTATATCTGAGAAACTAATCACTGCCTTCTTTTCAAATGAACCAAATTCAGTCGTCTGAAACAAAAAAAGAGTTGCACCGGACAGGCTGTGGACTGAGGAGGCATAAGCAATTTCCAAGAAGTGAACTGAAAGACTCTGCTCTTTCACTCTTTGAGGCACGAGAAGCTGGATTAAAGAGAAGCTGCGAGGATGTGGATGGGGATGCCTAAAGGAAACGCTGAGTGAGTGCCTTTACATCCAGAACCATCCCTCTGATCACACAGCATGCTGAACAAGGGCAAAGCCGTTTCTCTGCCTAACCCCGATTCCAAAGCAACGGGTAGCCATCCGTGCAAATTGCCAAAACTTTTCCTCTGGAAAGATGCGCCTCTTTCTAAGCTTTCTGTTTGTACTTTCACATTATGTCGATGATGCAGAACTTGATACTTCTAGTCTAGAAGCATTTTAAGTGCATTTTGACTTAATTTTTTGTGTAACGTCAATGACTTTCCAACGTATTCAGCCTAAGATTCAATTATTTTTCCGCAAGCTGGGTTTATAAGGATAGAGCATGAATCTTTTGTCTTTATTTGTGTTTCATATCTTACAGTATTTAAAGACTCTTTGTGTGGTGTCTCTTTGCTATACTTTTGTGGGTGATTATTTGCAAGCTATTATAATATAATTGAGAATATTTATGAACAGATTTTTTTGAAAGATAAATGGGAAAAAAGCATATATCATAATAAAGAATGTAATTTCATGTTTGAAACAGTTTTTTCCAGACGTTGAATTTAAAGACCACAAGGTGGCAGTGTTGCCTTTGTATTGGTCGTGAGCAATTCCCCACCACGAAGAAGCAGAATTGTATCAAGTCAATTAGAATCAAACAACAACATACACTAAATCGAATAAGTCCCGAAATTAACATCTTTATTTACATTTTTAAGGTGAGCATCAGGCTTTTTACATTATTTTAGTAGGATTTTATGGACTCATTCAACTGAGGTTCAGAGACGTAGACTACTGTTTCTAGATTTCCTTATTTTTTTTGTCTAATGTAAATGTTTCAGATATCCAAATAAATTAAATAAACGACAGAACCAAATAATTTAATTTTTGACCAACCTGGCCCTGCATGAAAATAAGACTGAGGTTCTCATTAGATATGATTTAAC